TGGAAGTTTTTAAGAAGAGACTGGACAGCCATTTGTCTGAAATGGTATAGGGTTTCCTGCCTGAGCAGGGGGTTGGACTAGATGACCTCCAAGGTCCCTTCCAACTTTATTATTATTATTATTATTATTATTATTATTATTATTATTATTATTATTATTATTATTATTATTATTATTATTATTATTATTATTATTATAGAAATAAGGAATAGGATAGAATAGAATGGAATGGAATGGTATAGAATGGAATAGAATAGGATAGAATGGAATGGAATGGAATAGTATAGAATGGAATGGGATAGGATAGGATAGGATAGGATAGGATAGGATAGGATAGAATGAAATTAGAATAGAGTAGAGTAGAATAACAATAGAATAACAATACCAAAAAACTGGAGAATATAACAAACTACCAAAAACCTGAAAGTAGAAGCAGAACGACTGTGGCCGAAGAAGATCACGTGGACAGCCATAGGCGGCAGCAATGGGTGCAATCCCGAAACATCTGCAGCACCCCTTAAAAACCGTCGGCATTGACAATTTCCCCATCGGTCCATTACGAAAGGCAGCAGTCCAGGTTGCCCCCTCGCCCTCCAATTAATCTTTTTGAAGGGGGTGGATTAAAACGTCTTTCCCCTGCAGGGAACCCCGGCCTTGTCCCAGCCTGGAATTGCAGCGGACGTTCTGCTCAAAGGCACCATCACCCGTCTGGCTACGGAGGACAGCAGTCCGGAGAAGAGCCGAGAAGAGATGGCCACCTCCAAAGGCCACGTCATTTACGAGGGGAAGAGCGGCCACATCATTACCTACGATGGTGAGTGCCGAGTCGGGAGGCTCCAAATCCCCCACGTGCTGCTTGAGGGAGATGCACCACGGAGGCTGGGGCAGGGAAATTACGCCCCGTTAGGGTCCTTGGTGCTCTCTGAGCTGGGTGGTTTTCCTGCAGATGTTTCATGACCCAGCTAGGTAACTTCATCAGTGTTAGAAAGGAGAAGGAGGAGGACTGTGGGGGTCCTGTGTTTTTTGAGCTGGGTGGTTTTCCTGCAGAGGTTTCATGACCCAACTAGGTAACATCAGTGCTAGAAGGGAGGAGGAGGAGGGAGGAAGAGATGGAGGAGGAGGAGGAGGAGGAGGAGGAGGAGGAGGAGAAGAAGAAGAAGAAGACTGGGGGGGGGGGTCCCAGGTGCTCTCTGAGCTTGGTGGTTTTCCTGCAGACGTTTCATGACCCAACTAGGTAACATCATCAGTGCTAGAAGGGAGGAGAAGGAGAACTGTGGGAGTCCTTGCTGCTCTCTGAGCTTGGAGGTTTTCTTGCAGATGTTTCATGATGTTCCCTAGTTGGGTCATGAAACGTCTGCAAGAAAACAACTGACCTCAGAGGACACCAAAGACCCCATAGTTGCTCCTCTTCTCCCCTCTGCAAAGCCCACTCCCTTTTAGCACTAATGATGTTACCTAGTTGGGTCATGAAACATCTGGAAGAAACCCCAGAGAGCACCAGGGCCCCTCAGTTCAACTCTGAGCTACAAATATCGCCTTCCGTGGAAAAATTATTTCCATTTTCACTAAGAGAATCCAAGGGAAATGGTTTTCCATTGCTCTCTCTCTCTCTCTCTCTCTCTCTCTCTCTCTCTCTCTCTCTCTCTCTCTCTCTCTCTCTCTCT